CAGGACGCTCTCTCTCTCTCTCTATATATATATATATATATATATATTCACAATTTCTGGGTGAAAATTGTCTCAAAGTAAATACAGCAATTTATTTTATTTATTTTATTGTATTTTTTTTCAGTGTATATTCTTATATACATTACATTACATTTGCGTCTATTTCTGCATGAGGGAGTTTTAGGGCAAAGCTGATACTTAAATGAGACAACTAAGAAATGCATTAAGTAAAAATAAATTTTCAAAGTTGTTAATAAAACAAAGATTACTGGAGTATATTTTACACAAAACAAAAATACTATTTCAGTCTTTCTACTTCGAAAGTTAAAATTTATTTCGGTGTGTTATTTGACATTTCTTTATAAAAAAATTACCAGCAATTTCTGAGGGAAAATTGTTTCAAAGGCAGTTTTTGTTTGTTTGTTTGTTTGTTTGTTTTTTGTTTTTTTCAGTGTACATACTACAACATTTGATACGATGTGTTTATGATGTAAGACAAAAAGTGATGACCCATGATATAAGTAGCCAATGCACAATGAACATAAACAGCTACTAGATTTTCTCGTCCTGTGTTTGCTTGTCTAATGTCTTCTAAAAGGTTCTAAAAAGCATTTTACATTTAGTGCTTTTTGAATGGATAAGCAATGCTGTCTCCCTTAAGGGACGGTGAAACAGAACTTAGCATGTTGGGACATTTGACTGTCTGCATCTCGATCTCTTCCTGTCCTATACCAGACAGTGACGTAACTGCATCTTATCTGCATCACTGCCTGAGACACTAACTGAAGGAGACAGCATGCTCCTCCACGCAAGTCTCACTCCACAGAACTGCACACGTACACAACCAAGCAACAAAAAATACAGTTGTTCAGCAAACCTAGAAAATGATTTTTATTTCAGTACTGTGACAGGAATAGGTCCAATACAAGTAAACATGAAAAACAATGCCAATTAACTGCATGGGATATTTCACTGCAAGATACACTAAATGGCTTTTCTATTATTCTATTATTATTATCTTTTCAGAAAAAGAAAATTCATTTTAATATATTTTGGTGGAAAAATGTCAATGTTTTCTGATATATATCTGTTCTAATATAATAATGAAGAAAAACAATTAAAATAATTAAATCCTTAACAAAAGAAGGTACAAAACTGCTTCAGTGCTTATTTTATTTATATTATTTATTTATTTTTGTCCACCAAAGCAATATCAAGTGATGCAACCAATAAATAAATAAATAATCTAACCCCTATGAACCCCTGTGTCAAGGCCAATACATCTTTTAAAATATAAAATAATTTGACTTATTTATAACCCTTATTATAAATGTAAAATTATTTTTTATATATATATTTTGCATATTCATTTTTATAGTGATTAAATGTAAAAGTTTATTGAAATTTGTTTATTCATTTATTTATACCAAATGAATTTAAACCAACTTGAATACAGCAAACTTAAAAAACTAAATTTTTCAAATTACTCACGGTTCTGCTGGTGTGCCCTAGTTGGCCACCAGATGTCACTGTGTGTTTTGAGCACATGGCTTGATGTTTTTTGTTGGTGCCATGTGCTCTCCTGTCTATTGTCTGACACCGCCCTTCTTGTTATCTCATTAGTGTTTTAGGTACTCCAACTGTGTCTCCCTCGTTACCCTCCTCGTTTGTCTCCCTATTTATTCTTCTTGTGTCTGCAGTCCTGTGCTGGTGCCTGCTCATGTTGGAGTGGAAGGAAATGAGGAGGTAGACAAGATAGTGAAACAGGCTCTTAAGCACACAAATATTGACATACATATACCCTTGAGTAAATCTGAAATTAAAGGTTTAATTAAAGTAGCTGTCAGAAAGATATGGCAAGAGAGATGGGATAAAGGTAACAAAGGGCGACATTTGTATAATATAAATAAACAAGTAGGACATGTAAGAACTGCTTATGTGATAGAAGGGATGATACAGTTATATCTTGATTGAGAATTGGACACTCTACTCTGAATAAATCACTCCAGATGATAGGAAGACATGAATCTGGTCAATGCAATCATTGTGGACTTCCAGAAACTGTAGAGCATGTGCTGATTAACTGTAGGGCATATGAAAGGGAAAGAATACAGTTAAAAGAGGAATTAAAATCTGACGGCATTAATTCTATGACATTACAGAGTGTGTTAAACAGTTCTCATAAAGGTTATAAAGCTCTTATAAATTTTTTGAAAATAACAAATTTATATAATAAAATATAGGTAGAAGGTATTTTTTTTTTTGTTTTTTTTTGTTTTTGTTTTTGTTTTGAGAATTAGCATTTCCCTTGATATCAGCGCCTCACACTCCATCCCAGTAGGTGGCGGAATATGCACCAAAAGCCGGAAGTGTCTGTCTGTGACGCGTTTACGCGTGTGAGGAGGACGAGCAGCACGTGCAGATCAGCAGCGCCCGTTCTTCCCCCTCGGGGTAGTTTTTGTTGTAGTTTTGTTTATTTTTTACTATTAATAAATGCCCTTATCGTCCTGCATTTGAGTCCTCGCCTCATCACTCTCCAGTACCATGACAGAACGAACCAGCCAACTGAGGACTCAGCGGAAGATGGGCTCACTCCATCTACCAGCCTCTACTATCTGCAGCCCCCTCCACCAACGCATGCTTAAGGTAGCAGCATTGAGTTCCCTCCGTCAACAGGGGACTGACGTGAGGGAATTCGCGATGGAGTTCTAGAGTGCTGTGGAGGGGCTGGACTACAACGAGGCGGCTCTCAAAGACCTTCTGAATTATGCCCTTGATGAGCCCCTCAATTGGTGGAGGATGAAAGGGCTGGATCACCTGACGTTTGTGGGGTTCGTAAACTACCTAGCTCGTCAGGGGAACCCTCCAGCCGAGGAGGCTGCAGCGCCCCCAGTGGTGGCTGAGGAGGATGCAGCGCCTACAGTGGCGGCCGATGAGGCTGCAGCGCCCCCAGTGGTGACTGAGGAGGCTGCAGCGCCTACAGTGGCGGCCGATGAGGCTGCAGC